ACACACACACTAACACATACACTCACTCACACTCACTCACACTAACACACACACCCACATACTCACACACACACACTCAACACTAACACACACTAACACATACTTACACACACTCACACTAACATTCACTAAAACTACACTAACACACATTTACACTAACACACACACTAACACACACTCATACTAATACACACTCACACTAATACACATACTAACACATACTCACCACACCCTAACACACCATCTCACACACACAAACACACACACATTAATACACATACACTCACCACACACACTAACACACACGCACACTAACACACACATATACGTTAACATACACACACTCACACTAACACACACACATACATTAACACACACACTAACACACACCACACTCACACACACATATACGTTAACATACACACACTCACATTAACACACACACATACATTAACACACACACTAACACACACCACACTCACACACACATATACGTTAACATACACACACTCACACTAACACACACACATACATTAACGCACACACTAACACACACCACACTCACACACACACACACGCCACACATAGATATTTGCGTTAACACTGGCAGTCACACACGCCACACTCCCTCTCACCGCACACTACACATACATACACTAAACACATACATACCAACAAACATACTCACCACACATACACACACACTACATACTCTACACAGGAACCTTGGTGTCTTGTGTGACCCTCAACTGTCTTTTCTTCCTCACATCCAAGCCATGACCCGCTCTGCCTTCCCTCACCTCCGTAACATCGCCCGACTCCGCCACTACCTCACCCCTCAGGCGCTGAAACTCTTGTTCGTGCCTTCATCACCTCCGGCTCGACTATGCGAACGCACTGCGTGTCGGCCTTCCCAACTCCTCCCTCCACAGACTGCAGATAATCCAGAACTAACTCTGCAGCCCATGTCCTCTCCCGCACCAAACTCTGTGAGCCCATCTCCCCCACTCTCGCCCGACTCCATTGGAGTCCTGTAGCTCAGTGGTTAGAGCACTCGCTTTGCAAGTGAGAGACCTGAGTTCAATTCCAGGCAGAGGGCGAAACATTGGGCAAGTTTCCTTACTCCACACAGAGCCTAATAATAATCCCTCCAAAACCCAAAACAATAATAAATTGGTCATTTTCAATCCACGACTGTTTGTGGGACATTGCTGTGCGCAATTGGCTGCCGCGTTCGCCCACAAATATACAGTCAATTCACTTTACAGTGTGTTCTGTGAAGCGCTTTGGGACGTCCTCCCGACGTGAAAAGCGCTATATCAAATGCAGGGACTATTATTATTATCATTATTATTGACTCCCTATTTTTAAGAGGATCCAGTTCAAGATGCTGGTCCTCACATACAAAGCCCTGCATGGCCTCGCCCCATCCTACCTCTGCGACCTCCTAACCCCCTACTAACCCACCCGTTCCCTCCGCTCAGCCGCCTCTGGCCTGCTCCACGTCCCTGGACCCACCCGCCCCACCATTGGCGGGAGAGCCTTCAGCCACTCCGCCCCAACCTCTGAAATTCCATCCCCCAATCACTCCGCCTCACCCCCTCCTCAAAGTCCCACCTCAAAACCCTCCTCTTCATCCATGCCATCAGCCTTCCCCTCCCCTCCCTTCTCCCCCCCCCCAACCCCAGCTCGGGTCTGAAATGCTGTACACTGTCCAGCGCCTTGGGACGTCCTCCCGACGTGAAAGGCGCTATACAAATGTAATCTTGTTGTTGTTGTGCACACATATATACAACCAGCGCGTTACACTGACAGTTGCACATACCACACTCACCATACATACACTTAGACACACACGCACTGTGGTGCTGAGACATTGCAATAATTATAGGTGTTATTCAAATATGCAGCTTCCTTTCTTTCTCTCTTTCTCTCTTAGTTTCCTTCCTTTTAATTAATCTTGTCCATCCCCTCCATCCCTGTCCCTGTCCCCGCCCCACACCATTGGGATTTCAACGTATCTGCCCCCATCTCTCTGGAACTTCATCCCAGAGTCCCTCTGACTCGCTCCCTTGCTCTCTCCCTCACCTCTTTCAAGGTGCGTCTCAAGTACCTTTCTTTTTCACCCGTCATCTCATTCCCCACGCTACCCCCATCCTCCTCCCTTGGCTCTCACCCCCAGCTCGGGCGCCCAGCAAGGCGCTTGCCTTGAGATATCCCGGGGTGGTGTAAACATGAATCCGTATTATATTGTATCTTTCGATCGGGATCTGACCTTTGAATCGTTGTTGCTCGTCGTTGGAGAGTTGGGTTGCAAAGAGCCAATCCGATCCCTGAGGAACAGCCTGTGATCAGCACCACCTTTTGCTCCATCCTTCCCTTCCTGAAAAACAAGCTTTATTCCGAGATTCCTACTGGGATCGAGGGTCAGAGCCTCCTCGTTCGGTCCTTGTCCCTCCCCCGGCTGCTCCTCTAGTCCTTCTTGAGTGCGTCTCTCCTGGATTAGCTGCAGACGAGCGCAGTGTCTAATGACCTTGATTTGTTATCAAGATGCTCTCGCTTGATGCGATTTCCATCTCCTAATCTTCACCCAGTGCTCCAGACTGCCCGGTCTGTCTGGTGCTGCATTATCGGAAGTGCCATCCTTCGAATGAGACGTTAAACCGCGCTAACCTGTCCCGTCTGCGCCTGTTCAGGTGGGCGTTGAACATCCCACGGCACCATTCGTGGAAAAATGGAAGGGATTTTCTCTCTCTCTCTTTCCCGGTGTCCTGGCCGACAATTCCCCCAGATAAAATCGGTCGCTCAATCCATGTCTGTTTGTGGGACACTGCTGTGTGCAAATTGGCTGCCGTGTTTCGCAAACCAAATACAGTCACTGCACATTACAGTAAATCCTTTGATCATGCGACAAAAATGTAATACCAACTGCAAGGTTTATTATATTATTATCACAGCAGCTCCTGGGTCTATCAAAGAGAATAGCAGCCCCTGTATGTACTGTAGAGAACAGCAGCTTGTGCGTGTATTATAGAGAATAATAATAATAATAATCCTTGCGTTTGATATAGCGCCTTATCATGTGCTCGACACACCTCAAAGCCTTTCAAAGAGTCAAGTCAAGTGACTGTGCAAAAGGTGTGTGGCACATTCAACAGGGAGACATTTGATAAACTTAAACTGTCCTTAAAATCTTATGGAAAGTACATTGCATGTCGTTCAAATCTCATTATGTCCAAATTTTCTTTGCGTTCATTTTTTTTCCATCTTCTTTTTCGCCCACAAAATACAGTCAATCCACTTGACAGTTTTTTCTGCAAAGCGCTTTGAGACGTCTCAACGACCCAATGAGGCGCGGTATCAAATGCAAGGATTTTTATTATTATTATTTGGGTGAGTTTGTAGCAAGGGAAGGTCAAGAGGGAAGTTTACCTCATGAGGGAAGGTTAAAATGAAAATTATATATACTTTAGGATACGTCAAGAGGACATAGGTTTAGAGTTGCAAAGTACCAATTTCGGGACGGACACCAGGAAGGTTTTCTTTACCCAGAGGATAATTAACGACAGGGCCAGGAAGGCTGATGGAGGTCAGGTCAGAACACTGGATTGAGTTAAAAAGCAGCTTAGCACTGTGATGGGGGTGATGGTAGGGCGGGTGTCTTGTGTGTCTTGTGCAGTCAGAGAAACGTGGATGAATGATTGACTTACAGAGTTCCTCGTGTGTCAGAGGAACCCGCGTTTGTCTGATTAAATAAATCTCCTCAAGAGACCACTGTTAACGGCAGAGATCCCTTCAGGCCCATTGTGCCTGATTGAGGTTTTTAAAAATACTGAAGGGATTCGACAGCACAGACACAAGGAAACTATTTCCTCTGGTCTGGGGAATCCCGATAAGCTGTTTTATTTTGTACTGAACAGTAGAAGGAGAGAGGGACCTGGGCTGCGATTGAATGGGGGGAGAATTCAGAACATATCTGTGGAGACGCTATTTCGGTGAGCGAGTGGCAAAACTTACGGAAAAGAAGAGGCTGCTTAGTGGAGACGGTGGAAGCCGGAAGTGTCGCTTGTTTCAAGAACAAATTAGATAGATTTCTCCTGGAAAATAATAGCTGGCGATACAGTATATAGTTCGGGACACGACATGTCAAGCGACTGCCAGGATGGTTGGAAGGCGGACGAGGTGGAACCTTTTGGCCGAGTGAATTCTTATGCAAGCGGTTTTGAGTCACAAATTTCAACACCTTTTTTTACACGTTAGCAGTTGAGAATTTCTCTCACTTTATAAATCTATAAGAATATAGTCTATGTGGTGCGATACATGTCCCTTTCAACTAGCTGTACACAAGCGGCAAGAGAGATGCCGTGCATTTCAGGTCAAATATACATTTCATCACAGAATATCTCAATATTACAAGATTTACATCAAAACCCGAGCTTCTGCCTCCCGTCTCTCGAGTCTGTCGGTCGGCAGTGAACGGTTCTGAATTTGGTAAAGATCGGGGGTCACGGCTAGAGGTTGTGGCAGAGTCTAAAAGGGGTTCTCCCCCCCTATCTCCCTCTCTCTCTCCCTCTCTCCCTCCCTCCCTCCCTCCCTCCCTTCCTTCATCCTCCCTCCTCTATCACCTTGAGACCCCGGTCACGCTGAGGGAGTCAGCCGGTGGGGGAGTGACACGGAGCCAGGCTGGATCACCAGAAGAATAACACTTGGGGAGTTTTCCGAGCTCTTAGACAAAGGACAAGGCTGGAGGGCTGTGAGCTCGGTCGCTTTAACCCGGCGACTGTGCCAACGGAGTTCCCCGACCCACGGCACACACCGCCTGGCACTCAGCTCACCTGCCCGCCTCGAGGAGAGAGGGGGTGGGTAACGTCCCCAGCCAGCCCTACGTGCTACTGGCAATGGCGGCCACTTACGCTGGGACACTGCGGGCAGCAATTCCGTTACGACAATGGGTTTTCCCCCCCCCAGGATCGGGGTGGGTGGGCGGGTGGGCGGGCGGGCGGGCGGGGAAGGTGTTAGAGAGGAATGCGGCTACAACAGTGTTTGAGGTTACATGGCAACACCCCTCTGTTAATCTGGTAGAAATCCACCAGTTGGATCAGGTCAGTGAATTTGGTGTGTGTCCCATCAAGGCTGTAGTAGTTCTGTCCATCCTCTTCGCACTGCGGAGGGAGAGAGAGAGAGAGAGAGAGGAAGAGCGTGGGTTACACATGGCGACCGTGTTGATGATATGTGGATATGTGGAGTCCTGTAACTCAGTGGTTCGAGCGCTCGCCTCGCAAGCGAGAGGACTTGGTTCGACTCCCCCGGGCGGGCAGGGCGAAATGTTGGGCAAGTTTCCTTACTCCACACGCCCGCCTCTGTTTACCTCGCGGTAAGTAGGAACCCGGCTGTTAGCCAATTGGCGCATCGCTTTTTCGGGGGTAAATAAATTCCTTCAAAAGAATAAAAAGAATAGTAATAATTTGGTCACTCAATCCACGACTGTTTGTGGGGAACGCTGCTGTGCGCAATTGGCTGCCGCGTTTCGCCCACAAAATATACAGTCGATTCACTTGACGGTGTATCCTGTGAAGCGCTTTGAGACATCGTGAAGACATGATAAGGCGCTGTATCAGATGCAAGGGATTATTATTATTATTATATTGGCCAACGTTCAGGCCTGATGGTAACTATCGATCTCAACTCACCAGCAGCACCAGGAAGTGCTTGATCTTCTGCTGGTGACTGAGGGTCAGCACAAAGCCAGTGGGGGTGCGTTGGCTCTCTCTCATCAGGAACACTCTGTGAGGACGGGAGGAGACACACACGTTAAACAACAACGGACAGACACACACACACACACACACACACACACACGCGCGCGCGCAGCGACGTCCGAGCCATTCAGAAAATACCAACCTCCTCCTACACAGACCGTACAGCACGTCATCAGCAACAACAACCACTACCACTGCTGCCACGACAGCAAATTGTGTTAATATAATAATAATTTGATACAGTGCTTTATCACGTCCTCGAGACATCTCAAAGTGCTTCGCAGAATAGACTGTAAAGTGAATTGACTGTATATTTTACAGCGCTTTCACAAAAACACACTGCCCCCCACAAAAAAACAATAATAATTTGGCCACTCAATCCACCACTGTTTGGGGGACACTGCTGTGCGCAATTGGTTGCCGTGTTTCGCCCACAAAATATACAGTCGGTTCACTTTACAGCACATCCTGCGAAGCGCTTTGAGACATCTCAAAGACGTGATAATGCGCTATATCGGATGCAAGGATTATTATTATTATTATTATATTATATTCAGCCTTTGGCGAGGGCTTTCCGTGGGTCAGTCCTTCCTGTTACTTGACTTGGATTACTTATTAAGGAATCCCAATAAGAAATAAGAATAAATAAGATAAAACACCCCCCCCAAACTGCAAGAGCTGCCCAGCACCGCGAGCGTTTGTGTAACGCAGAATGTCAGGCTCTTACCCGTCGACGTGACCGTGCTGGATGATGAGCCTGTGGGCCTCCTCCCTCGAGATTCTCCCGTGAAACCAGGGCTGGGTCCTGTGTATGGCTAAAGCCATCGGAAAAACAAAGCCATCAGTGCCATCGTCACAGCAGAGCAGAGCGCTAGGAACACGGGGCAGTTACACGCACCCCTTCTGTCTGGCTCGACTGCCATTTTTTTTCGATCAACCAGATTTTAAGTGGAAATTTCAAAGGGTTGGGGTGAGTTTTCGCTTGTTTTTTTTTTTGTCGCCTGTGTGCGAATCACTCACCTGCGCTGAGCACCGAGCCCTGGCACGGGCTGGGCAGACTGTACCTCTGCAAACTCTTCTTCTGTGGGAGCCAAAGATATTTGCGCTCAGGAACACATCGGGTTCAGTAACACACTCAAACACATAGACACACACACACACACACCATCACACACAGTCACACACACAGACTCTCACACACTCATGCCCACATGCTGTCACGCACAGTCCTAATGCTGTCACACGCGCATAGTATCACACACAGTCACACACATTGCCTCTCACACACACACACACACACACAGAACAAATTCATTCACACACACAGTCCCAAACTCACTCATATTTTCACACGCGCATACATTCATTCACAGGGTCTCAGACACACACACACACGCACACGCACACGCACTCAGCCAAACAGTCTTCACATACACAGGGCCACACATAAACACACAGTCATACAGAAGTGCGCACTGTGCGTCTGTCTGTTCATCTGTGCATCTGTGCGTCTGTGCGTCTGTGCGTCTGGTCTGTCTGTCTGTCTGTCTGTGCGTCTGTCTGTCTGTCTGTCTGTCTGTCTGTCTGTCTGTCTGTCTGTCTGTGTGTCTGTGTGTCTGTCTGTCTGTCTGTCTGTCTGTGCGTCTGTCTGTGCGTCTGTCTGTCTGTGCATCTGTCTGTGCAACTGTCTGTCTGTCTGTCTGTCTGTCTGTCTGTCGTCTTTACACAGAGGGTGATTGGGTTGTGGGATTTTCTGCCACAAACTGTAATGCTGAATTGTTTTAAAAGAGAATACGAGTGAACGTGATCGCAGTCTGATGAGGAGGAAACATGACAGAGTTTGTGGAGCGAGAGGGACAGTGGGCGTGATTGGCGGCTGACGCCAGCACAGACCTGGGCTGGGCTAAATGGCCTATTTCTGTGCCGGGAAACATTTGAAATAGCTTTAAGTAAAGAGCGAGACGTGTTAAGTGTCGTCGCTGCGGCCGGATTGCCCCGGTGACATTGGTGCGGTGCGGAGTGAGGGATTGCCAGGGTGACGTACCCTCCAGGTCTGTCCCTCCTCCAGTGCCACCGTCCAGGCCTCCTCTGGGTTGGCAATCACACGCCCAGTGCAGCCCGAGAAATCCATGGCCACGAGCGAGGTCTCTGAGAGGTTTCTCTGCCACACAGCGAGGAGAGCGTTCAGCTCACTGCCCCCACCCCCTGCCACTGCACCGCCCCCCCCCGCCAGTGCCACCCCCCCCGCTACCTGCCCCATGCCACCCACCTGCCCCATACCACCAGCTGTACCCACCCCATGTCACCCCAAAGAGCTCGTGACTCTCGCCCCTACCACCAGTGTCACACGCTTGACGTCACACCTGCCTGGTGTCATTTGTCCTGTCCAGTTGTCCACCACCTGTCCTGCCCTAATGCCACCCACTAATCTAATAGCCATCTGCCTCATGGCACCCACCTGTGCCCTGCATCGACTCAAAACCATCTTATCTGCCCAACACCACCTGCCCCGTACCCACCAGCTCCGTGCCCCTTGCCTCCCGCTCTGTGCTCCAGCTGCCCCCCAGGCCCCAACCACTCTGCCATGTGCCCCCAGCCCTGTGCCCACCCCTCACCCCTCCACGTCCTGTCAGGAAGCCCCCAGATGGGGTCAAACGGAAGCGACTCACTGGTGGTGAGGATTTGAGCCACTCTTGCTGCTCCTGTCTCTGTTGCGACAACTGGTAGTTCACACACAGCTGAGATCCCAACTGGGGAGGAAAAGATTATACCCTGACCCCTCTCACACACCAAAGCCACAGCTCAGACACAACCTAACAAACCCCCCCCCCACCCACACTCACACCCCTATCCACCTTTCCCCATCAGACACCCACATTTACTCCCACCCATTCCCTCCTCACCACCCCACCATTAATTCCCCCCATTCGCCCTCAATTCCTCCCCCCAAAAAAACGTGGTCGCTTCATTCCACGGCTGTTTGCGAGGAAGCTGCTGCGAGCAATTGGCTGCCGCGTTTTGCCCATGAAATACACAGTCAATTCACTTTACGGTATGACCTGGGAAGCGCTTTGAGACGTCTCGAAGACTTGATAAGGCGCTGTCTCAAATGGGAGGATTATTATTCTGATTATTCTTAATATTATTGTAATTATTATTATTGTTATATTCACTACCCTCATTCACACGCCCCACCCCACCCCCCCCCCACACACACCACCCCATTCACTCCCCACTCTATAACCCTCACCCTGATCAACACCTTGACCCCAATCCTCAGCCCTGACCCGGGGGCTAACGGTACCACACGACTCCCCACAGTCCCTCACCTTAAAGAGCCGGAATGCTGTCATCCAGCAGGTGCGACTCTGCTCGTCGTCCGCGCACAGAAGCTGAAGGTCTTTGCTCCCATTTCGCGTCCTGTAAGGCTAAGCACAGGCGTGCGGTCACAGCCAGCGCTCGGAGAAGCAGGAGTAGGCGATTCAGCCCCTCGAGCCTGTTCCATCAATTTATTTACTTATCATTTTCATGGCTGACCTGTGCCTCCAGTTACCCGCCCTCGATACCCTGACCTAACAGATATCGGTCTACCTCCCTCCCATTGGAGTCCTGCGGTTAGAGCACTCGCTTTGCAAGCGAGAGACCTGGGATCGATTCCGGGCAGGGCGGCGAAACCTTGGGCAAGAATTCCTTACTCCACGCGCCTGGTAATAATCCCTCCAGAACAAAACAATCCACGGCTGTTTGTGGGACGCTGCTGTGCGCAATTGGCTGCTGCGTTTTGCCCACTTAATATGCTTGCAATCCTTGCACTTGATATAGCGCTTTTCACGTCTTCTAGACGTCTCAAAGCGCTACATCAAATGCAAAGATTATTATTATGGTTATTATTATTATTATTATTATTATTACCTCCGTCTTAAGAATGTGAATGGATGCAGCATCCACAGCCTTTTAGGGGAGAAAGTTCCAGATTTGCACTACCCTTTGGGGTAGTAGAAATACTACACACGCGAGCCTCCCTGTCACGCCTGTCATCCTGTCCCTGCACTGCTCACGCTCTCTCTCACACACTCTTTTCTCACACGTTTCTCTCGCTCCCTCACACGCCTTCAACCTCCATCTCGAGATCTCTTTACGTGCACTTTCGATCATCTTTCATCCACAAACATACACAGTCAATTCACTTTACAGTACGGTCTGTGTTATGTAAAGAGGGGCTCTCCCCAAGCCTTGGCTCTTGCCAACCTGTGCCTAATACTTTCCAGAATTAGGTGGGCAGAGTGCTTCCTCCCCCCCCCTAGAGAGAAAGAGAGCGAGAGAGAGAGAGAGAGAGAGCACATTCCATTCCAAAAATCTATCTCCACGTGTAGATGGGACACATGGAATTCTCAGTTTGGTTTGGAGACCCTTAAGCAACCGTTGATGGGTTTCCGCGTGTGCCAGACACCCGGCCGACCAAATATATGAAAGCGTGAAGCGCTTTGAGACGTCTCGACGACGTGACAAGGCGCCGAATCGAATGCAAGGATTATTATTGTCTTTCCACTCCCACGAGACCGCTCCCCCAACCCACCAGCTCGACTCCCACGCCACCCCACCCCCCCCCCACCCACACACAACACACCCCCCCCCCAGCTCGGTGGTAGTGGTGGTAGTGGTGGTGGTGGTGGTGGTGACGGGTGTGGAGGTACCGAGTCAATCCCTTCGAGAAAGTCGCTGTGTGTACAAACGTTCATCTGTGGTGTCAACGCGAATTCTTTTGAAGCACAGCCGCACTGCCACACTGTGGACGATGTCTACAATGGCGGATACCTTGATACAGAAGCTGAAGTCGGTCGGCGCGTTGAAAGCCTTTCTGCCCTCGGTCACCGTGTAAATGTTGCCCTCGCTCACGTCAGCGAAATAATGCAGGTGCCTCGGTTCCTGTCGGGGGGTGGGGGGATTCAGAGTAAAACGTAAGCGAGGAGTGAGAGCGACGCGAACTCTGAGGTTATGGGGGTTCGAAATTCATTGCCGCGACGACGACGGCAACAACTTGCACTTACGCGGCGCCTTTCGGGTCAGGAGGACGTCCCAAGGCGCTGGACAGTCAGCAAGCTACACCCAAGCTGGTGGTTGAGATAAGAAAGGGGTGGAGGGCGCAGAGGGTAGGGGGTAGGAGGGTGCCCAAAAACGCGGTCGAAGAGGAAGGTCTTGTATCAGGCCTTGAAGGAGGCAATGGAGTGGGGGCGCGGGGGGGAGCGAAGACAGAGGGGCTACGGGATGGAGAGGGCAGGGGGCAGATGGGCTGAAGGCTTGACCACTGATGGTGGAGCGGGCAGGGTGGGCGGGAAAGGGGGGTGGTGGACGTGGAGCTGGCTGGTGCCTGCCGAGCAGAGGGAGTGGACGGGGTGGTGGGCGTGGGGGGGAGGGTGGGGGGTTGGTCTCTCTCCTCGCGCATCCCCTTCCCCTCTTCCAAACCCTCCGCCACTTTTTTTCCGACCGTGGAAGAAGTTTCCACCCGAGTCCCTCACGAACACCCTGGCTTCCTCGGATCTCTTCTCCCCCTGGCCTTCCACCCGCCAGCGATCCCCGATGCAACCATCAAGCAGAAGCGCTGTGGGACGCTACCTTGCATGGGTTGGGGTCGGGGTGGGGGGTTATATGAATGCATGTCGCGGTTTTGTTGTTATTGTTGGTGGCTGGTAGCCTCTCTGACCTTCGAGGTGCCCTTGGTAGAGTAATAGACGCCGGATCTCCTCAGGAAGAAGTAGAGCCTCCGCCAGCTCTTCCTGCCCTTGTCTCTCACGTGGATGAAGCCCTGGATTTCAGGGCAACGTCTGGCATTCAGGAAATTCTTAAGAAAAGCAAACGGGGTAAAAATACAGGTGCCCCGTCACTCCGCAACCCCAGGCAAGCCTCCCCCCCAACCCCCCACCCCCCACCTCGCCACTCCGCAGGGCCTCCCCACCCCTCTTCCTTCCTCCAGTCACCCCCACCCCACCACGGTCACCCCACACCCCAAGCCTCCTCACCCGTAAGAGCTGTGAGTGTGGAATTCCTTCATTCGCTTCAAGACATCCTGCCACCAGCTGCTCCGGAAAGAATGGCTGTTGGGGAGAGCAGAGACATAGCTGAGAGTCAGGAGCGACTCCGAGCAGGTGACTCTGTGACTCGGTCGATCGGTCGGCCGGTAAACGTTGGTCGATCGGTCTCTTACCGCCGGGTTCCTGAAAAACTCGTACTTCGCAAAGTGCTTCCTGAAGACGAACTTGCTGTCACTGTCGGCCTCCCACAGCATCTGGATCTCAACCAGGGACTCGTGGTCTTCCAGGTATCTCTCTGTGTGGGGGAGCGAGCGAGAGAAAGAGAGAGAGAGAGAGTGGGGGAGAGGCGGAATGAGAAATAGAGAGGGGGGGGGGGGAGAGAGAGAGACAGGTAATAATAATAATAATAATCCTTGCATTTGATATAGCGCCTTCTCACGTTGTGGAGACGTTATCAAAGCGCTTCTCATGCTCTTCATCCAGATAGCGAGAGAGAAAGACACACAGAGAGAGAGATAGAGGGAGACAGAGAGAGTGAAGGAACGAGAGAGAGAGAGAGACAGAGGGAGAGAATGAAACAGAACGAGACAGACAGACAGACAGAGAAAGATCTATTAATAGAGGGCGCTGAGAGGAAACTAATAACTGTTTTCTGTTTGCAGAGTTTGTGTTCTCTCTTTATCCAGTGATGACTTCAGACTCAGAGTTAGACTGTGACCGGGCAGCCTAGGAGCGTGCATGTGTGTGTGCGCGTGTGTGGGAGCGTGCATGTGTGTGTGCGCGTGTGTGGGAGCGTGCATGTGTGTGTGCGCGTGTGTGGGAGCGTGCATGTGTGTGTGCGCGTGTGTGGGAGCGTGCATGTGTGTGTGCGCGTGTGTGGGAGCGTGCATGTGTGTGTGCGCGTGTGTGGGAGCGTGCATGTGTGTGCGCGTGTGTGGGAGCGTGCATGTGTGTGTGCGCGTGTGTGGGAGCGTGCATGTGTGTGTGTGCGTGTGTGGGAGCGTGCATGTGTGTGTGCGCGTGTGTGGGAGCGTGCATGTGTGTGTGCGCGTGTGTGGGAGGGTGCATGTGTGTGTGCGCGTGTGTGGGAGGGTGTATGTGTGTGCGCGTGTGTGTGGGAGGGGGTGTGTGGGAGCTGTGTGTATGTATGTATTTGTTTGTGGGGTGTGGGGGTTGTATTTGGGGTGGGGGAGAGGGGCGGGATTAGCCCCTAGTGGGAGGTAGGGAGGGAGGGTGTGCGTGTGCGTGTGCGTGCGTGTGTGTGTGAGGGAGGTGTAAGGGGGTGGGGGGGAGTTACCTAGTGACATGTGGGGGTACACCTCCACCAATGTCCAGCTCTCCTCATCCACACAGCGGTTTCTCTGCACCAGCAGGTGACAAACATCGCTGGCCTTCACGCTGACACCCACCTCCAGGGACCTGCACATCCCATCCTCACTGTAGATAGTCACCACCTGTAACACAGAGAGAGAGAGAGAGCGTCCGTGAAGAGAGAGAGAGAGAGAGAGAAGGAGAGCGTGAAGAGAGACAGAGAGACAGAGAGAGAGAGAGAACGAAAAATCTGTCGTTCCATTTCAGATGACACCTTGGGACGTCCTCCCTTTACCGATGTAATGTTGTTGTTGTTTTCAGAGCGCTTGGAACTTGATGACGGGATGTAAGCAGCGAGACAGAGAGAGATAGACAGACACACAGATACACACATTCAGTAAGAGAGGGATACACACACACACACAGTTAGAGAGGGAGAGAGAGAGAGCGAGACACACGCACAGTTAGACAGATAGAGAGTTGCAGAGAGAGAGAGGGGGTGGGGAGAGAGAGAGAGAGAGAGAGAGAGACCCTTCGTGATACCTGGTAATCGGGCAGGTGAAGTAAATCAGCAATCGCTATCTATCGGCGATGAGCGAGGACAGCAGTGCTGAGCCTGACTGACAGAGCCAGGACAAGAGCCACATTGTCCGTCTGTCTGTCTGTCTGTCTGTCTGCTCGTCCATCTGTCAAGCGCTCCGGGACTCTACCCCGCGTGAAGGGCCCGATATAAATGCAAGTTGTTGTTGTCGTCTGACTGGTCTTGTCTGTCCAGGGGGTGCCAGCAAGGCTGGACTCTAACCCACCCTCCACAGCGAGCCTGACACTGCACCCACCTCACCCGCTCGCAACCTTCCCCCCACCTCTCCCCAGCGCTGAGGGCTGGCAGGGCTTTGGGGGCTGGGGGTTAGGTTGAGGGTTATTGGGGGTGTGTGGGGGTGAGGAAGGGCTGGTGGTGGTGGTGGGGGGGGGGGTGGGTGGGTTTGTCTCAGACTCAGACTGTGAAGAGCTTGTTGCCAATTGCACGAAGCCTACGAGTGGCTGAACCCCGAGACTGCAAACATCTGACATCCACAATCACACAGCGCCTACAGCCCCGACACGTGCCCAGTCACTACACTACACAGCGAGTCCCGGGAAGTGTCCTCAAGACATTCAGACGAGGTGATTAAGGTGTCAAATGGATTGCCCGTATTATTATCATTATTATTGTTATAATTTTTACATACAACACCGAAACTGGCCTTTCAACCCAGCGAGCACTCTCGTGCTACTCTCCATAGGAAGCTGCCTTTCTTCCCCCACACTCCCGCTTTGTTCCCGGCCATGTCACTCCACGTCACTCCACTCCACTCCACCCTTTAAATGTTCCTCCTCTCCTGTGTCTATGCTGTAAACTGGAGTGATTATGTGTTTTGTGAGATAACGTGGCAGGCAATTTGTGCGCAGCGACGTCCCGCAACGCAGCCATGATGTGAACGTGGAATGTTCTATCATAGGACATGAGTGTGCGAGCGTGAGTGCGAGTATGTATGTGCGCGCGCGCGCGTGTGTGTAAGCGACTGTGAGAGTGTGTGTGAGTATGGGTGGAGTGTGAGTGTGTGTGTATGTGAGTGTAGAGTGTATGCGAGGGCGTGTGTGAGTATGTGTTTGTGAGAGTGAGTGTGTGCGAGTGTGTATGTGTGTGAGTGAGTGTGTAAGCATGTGAGTGTTAGAGTGCGTAAGAGTGAGTGACTGTGTGTGAGAGTATGTGAGTGCGTGAGAGTGTGTTTGTGTGAATGAGTATGCATGTGTATGAATATGTGAGTGTGTGGTACATGTGTGAGTGAGTGTGTGAGAGTATGTGAGCGTGTGAGAGCGCGTGTGTGAGAGTGAGTGTGTGTGTGTGTGTGGGAAAGTGAGTGACTGCGTGAGTGTGTGTGTGTGTGTGTGTCTGAGAGCACGTGTGTGAGTGAGTGTGTGTGGGAAAGTGAGTGACTGCGTGAGTGTGTGTGAGAGCGCATGTGTGAGAGTGAGTGTGTGTGAGTACGTGAGTGTGAGAGTGTGTGAGAGCGCGCGTGTGTGTGAGTACATGAGTGTGTGTGTGAGTGTGAGCGCGCGTGTGTGAGAGTGAGTGTGTGTGTGGGAAAGTGAGTGACTGCGTGAGTGTGTGTGAGTGTGTGTGAGAGCGCGTGTGTGAGAGTGAGTGTGTGTGAGTACGTGAGTGTGAGAGAGTGTGTGTGAGAGCGCGTGTGTGAGAGCGCGCGCGCGTGTGTGAGTACGTGAGTGTGTGTGTGTGAGTGTGTGTGAGAGCGCGTGTGTGAGAGTGAGCGTGTGTGAGAGCGCGCGCGCGAGAGTGAGTGTGTGTGAGTACGTGAGTGTGTGAGAGCGCGTGTGAGAGAGTGCGTGTGCGCGCGTGTGTGCGTGTGTGTGAGCGTGCAGGTTGCTGTGTGCGCCGGCTGCCGTGCTATGCTCTGATTACCTGGCTGGGTGGTGTTTGGAGGTCAGACCCGCCTGGTGACATTAAATATAGTGTCTGCACGTCAGTCACGCCTTTGATTTACAGCCACTAAAAATAGCCTGAGCCGGGAGGTACGAGAGTATCACTTAAACACTAACATGAGACACGCGGTTCTTAAAGGGATAGTCCTCTCGACCCGCGACAGAGTCACGACGACGACGACGACGACAACTTGCACTTATGCCGCGCCCTCCGCACGCGGGAGAGCGTTTAAATCTCGAATTGCTCGGTGACGACCGAGACGCTCGGTTCGGTGGCTTCCAGTTTTGCCCACGGATACCGCAGGCAAAATTCGAACGCCGTCCTCCCGATGTGACGGGCGCTGCATTAATGCAAGTGGCTGTTTTACGGTAAATCCTGGGAAGTGCTTTCAAGACGAGGTCCACATGCGAAGGATGCTGTATCAAGAATGATTATTATTATTATTATTATTATTATTAATACAAAATTTGGCCATGTATTCCTACGCACTCCAGCTCCATCGTGAAACCCTGGGTCGAAGGAACTTACGTAAATCGATGAAGACAATTTAGGTGGGTTATCCCTGGGCCTCAACGATGTCCTGTGATCATAGTAATAATCCTCGCGTTGATACAGCTCCTTATCACTTCTACGAGACGTCTCGAAGCGCTTCATGGTAAAGCACACGCCGATCACAAAGGAAATCAGTTTTTTTTTAAAAAAAACGCTATATAAGTGCAAGTTGTTGTTGTTGCTGCGAGGTCCTGACTGTCGATCACAGCCGTGGAATGAACTGCCCAGGCGTTATTCTGTCACCGCGATGTCTCGAGGTATTACATCAGTGTGCCACCCCTGGTGGCCATCGGCCCTGGGTGTGTGTGCGTGTGAGACGGCACCAGGCAGGCGGTGGTGGTAAGGTTATACAACATGTCTGATGGCAACGTGACAGATTCCTATGCGGTTTGTCATCTGATGTACCGAGACAGAGCCACCAACCTTTATCTCGCTCGCTGAGTGATTTAGAGGCGACTTTGCATTATCTTTGGAGCTTTGCCAGATTGCTTCGTGTCCTGAACTTGCTGGGCTACATACAATAACCTGTGGCTGTCACAGAGATGTGGAGTGGGCTGTCACACACACACACACACACACACACCTTTTGTTATCTCGCCGTTCATCTGCCCCGGGGAGGAATCTCCTGTAACACTAACCTACTTAGCGATCGAGACACCAATAAACAGACGAGGTGCCTGGATTCATGCCTCAAACTCACTCGCCTCTCTTTGGGGAGAGTTTCCACGGACGACCAGACTACAAACACCCAATGTGTCACCTTGCCCAACCTCAGAAATGCACCACTCTCCCCTCCAATACCATCAAGAGAGGACTGTGTCAGCCTGGCTCATTCAGTAGCACTCTTACCAGGAAATCAGCAGGTCGTGGGTTCGAGCCCACCACACTGAACGCAAGTAGTCTTTGCTGACACTCCAAAGTAGGTCACCCTCCTACCCCCACCCTCCCCGCCCTCCACCCCTCCTGATCCCAACTACCAGCTCGGGTCCAAAACCCTCTGACTGTCCAGCACCTTGGGACGTCCTCCTGACGTGAAAGGCGCTGTACAGATGCAATTTGTGGTGGTTGTTATTGTTGTTGTTGATGGAGTTATGTTCCAAATCTCATTTCTCTCCAAATCTTTTCCACTCTATCCAAATCCAGTTCCCTTTCTCCATATCTCACCCTCTCTCTTTCTCTCTCTGATTCGAGCGCTCCAAGATCCAACGCCACACATGAAGGGCGGTGTATAAGTTGTTGTTGTTGAATTTTTAAAAAGGATACATCCTGAAACATGATCTCTTGCAGAATAATAATAATAATCATAGAATAATAATAATAACAATAATTCTTGCATTTGATATAGTGCCTGACCACGTCTTCGCAGAATAGACTGTAAAGTGAATTGACCGTATATTTTGTGGGCCAAATGTCCTTGGTTGCCCTGTATAAATCTTTCATCTCCCTCTGCTCGGACTCCTACACAACATGTTGTCAAACTCTCTGAGACGTTCTAAATGCAAGTTGTTTTTGTACTCGATTCCACCTAGCAGCAGAGACTCAAACTATCTGGATGAGAGCCCAGTTTTCCTTTCCTCCCCAAATGAGCTCACCAGCATTTACAAAACCACTGCTCCAATTGGAGTTTGGGCGTGGCAGATTATAAAAGGGAATATATATATAAATATGTAAACTCAGGGCTTGTGTCTCTATTGGACCTGAGGGAATAATACTATAAAAATAATACTAATAATAATCCTTGGATTTGATATAGAGCCTTATCACATCATTGAGACATCTCAAAGCGCTTCGCAGAATCCACTGTATGTTTTGTGGGCGAAGCGCGGCAGCCAATTCCACTCAGCAGTGTCCCGCAAGCAGTCGTGGATTTAGTGACGCAAATTTTTTTTGGGGGGGAGGGATTATAACCCATAATAATCTGCTAATCGACTAACTATCGGGTTCCTACTTACTGCTGGTAAACAGAGGCGTGTGTGTGGAGTAAGGAAACTTGCCTAAGGTTCCGCCCTGGCTGGGAATCGAACCCGGGTCCTCTCGCTCGCGAGGCGAGCTCTCTAACCACTGAGCTATGGAAGGGAAGGCATGGACAGACAGATGGACAGACAAACAAACAGACGCAGACACACAGTTAGACAGACAGACACCCTCTATTTTATTGAATGGCAGAACTCATACTCACATACATGCCTCTGTGTCCCGTTGCCTTGGGGCAGCTGTTGAGGGCTGAGGAGCTGGACGAGCTGCAGAGTTCTGGGAACGGGTTTGGGATGGTGGGAAGTGATGCTGTGCTGTGTTCCTCCTCTTTCAGTTGCCTTGTAAATAACAAACACCCATTGCTTCAGATCACCGTGACTGCACAACAGCCAGAGCAAGAGGGCAATGTGTCTGTGTGCAGCCTTTTATAATATAAATAATAAAAATCCTTGCATTTGGCACAGCGCCTTATCACGTCTTCGAGACGTCTCAAAGCGCTTCACAGAATATACATCGACTTTATATTTTGTGAGTGAAACTCGGCAGCCAAATGCGCACAGCAGCGTCCCCACAAACGGCCATGGATTGAACTGACCAATTTTTTTATTACTATTGTTTTAGGAAATTATTACCCCCGGAAAAGCGATCCGCCAATCGACTAATAACCGGATACCCATTAACTGCTAGGTAAACAGAGGTGTGTGGGGAGTAAGGAAACTCAACAATAATAATAATAATCCTCGCATTCTGCACACCCTAACACTCAAGAGTAAATTTAGACCTGGTTGGAATTTCTCCACCCGCCACATTATCGATATATTGGAGCAGAGAAGGTTACGAGGAGACCTAATAGAGGTCTTCTAAATCATGAGGGGATTTGATAGGTTAGAAAGGGAAAAACTGTTTACCACTGGTGGGTGTGTCGGTGATTCGAGGTCACAGATTCAAAATAGTCTCTAAAAGAAGCCGAGGGGAGGTGAGAAGAAATATTTTCACGCAGCGAGTTGTTCGAATCTGGAAGGCATTGCCTGAAAGGGCGGTCGAGGCCGATTCGATAACTACTTTTAAAAACGCGGTGGACGGGTATTTGAGGAGGACGGGTTTGCAGAGTTATGGGGAAAGGGCCGGGGAGTGGGATTGACATTAATTGCTCTATTCAAAGAGCCGGCACAGACTCGATGGGCCGAATGGCCTCTTTTTGTGCTGCACGATTCTATGATTCTATTCTATGATTCTATAGAGAATGTTATTGTCTGAAGAACTTATGATTGTTTTTTTGGGGGGACACAACACTGCAAAGCATCCTCTCCTCTGGGTTACCACTATCGACTCGCTGTGTCACCGGAGAGAAAGCAGAACTGCAGGAAACATCGTATCTCTTGGTGATGGTTTTAATAATAATAAGTAATTATAGTGTGATGTAATAATTATTATGGTATAATCATAATAATAAGTAATAATAAGTCAGTCTTGCTTTTGATATAGCGCCTTAGCATGTGTTCAAGATGTCTCAAAGTGCTTCATGGAATATACTTGTAGTAAATGACTATATTTAACTAATAATAATCCTTGTATTTAATATAGTGCCTTAACACGTCGTTGAGATAATAATAATAATAATAATCCTTGCATTTGATATAGCGCTTTTCAGGTCGGGAGGACGTCCCAAAGCGCTTCACAGAACACACTGTAAAGTGAATTGACTGTGCATTTTGTGAGCGAAACGCGGCAGCCAATTGCGCACAGCAATTGAGAGAGAAAAAAAAAGTGTGTTAAACAAGGACCGTACCTTTTGACATGTATGTGAACTGGCTGTGACCTGTGCAGTTCCTGGCACTGGGGCAAAGTCAAGCTGTGTCCGTTGGGAGGTATCGTAGAGATGTCCTTCTGCAATTTCCCACCTTGAAAGAAGTTGTCAAGTTTGGGGCTAAGTTCATGTTCCAAGGCGACATTGTCCATATCAGCATCTGGCAACGGGAGAAAGAGACATAGAATTAGACAAACAACAACAATAATAATAACAATAATAATCCTTGCATCTGATGTAGTGTCTTATCATGTCGGGCAAGTTTCCTTACACACGCCTCTGTTTACCTAGCCGTCAGCAGGAACCCTGTTGGTAGTCGATTGATGGATCGCTTTTCTGGGGGTAATGATAATTCCTTCAAAAATAATAATAATAAATCGGTCATTTCAATCCACGGCTGTTTGTGGGACACGGCCGTGCGCAATTGGCTGCCGCGTTTCGCCCACAAAACACACAGTCCCATCAATTTACTCCACAGTACATTCTGTGAAGCGTCTCGAGACGTCTCGAAGATGTGATTGGGGGCTATGTCAAATGCAAGGATTATTACTGTTAATATCCATCAATTGTTAGACGAGACAGTTGAAGAGCGAGGGGGCTGCCGCAGTTATTAGCGCTGAGGACTCCAGTGAAAACCCCTACTGGCAGAAATCCAACACCTCCCAATAAAACCAGTTTAGATATTAATCTCTTCTCCCATGTTGGTGTTATCTTTACCAATGAGGCAAAACGGGTTTGGTGCTGGCTGAGGTGCTAACACAAAGCGACATCCTTGTTCACTCCACGCACGCCATTTGTTGTGCCACATTCCACTGCGTTGAATTAGTCCAGAGTTAGACTGACTCAACCCGACCTCCGATACTGAGAACAAAGAGGCTGTTATACCCTCGCAAGCCGGAGAATAAATATGGTTTTATTTTATTTATCAGGTTTCCTCACTCCTCACGCCTCAGTTTACCCAGTAGTAAGTAGGAACCCGGCAGTCGATTGGCGGATCGCTTTTCCGGGGGGATTAATTAAACTCTTTCGAAAAATAAATAAATAAAAATAATAATAATAATTATTTGGTCACTCAAACCACCAATGTTTGTAAGACACTGCTGTGCGCAATTGGCTGCCGCGTTTCGCCCACAAAATACACAGCCAATTCACCTGAAATTTCCTCTGTAGAGTCGGGCATCGCAGAGACAGAAATTTGGTCAAAATAATACAGGAAACAAGCGAATTCACTCAATTTCCTGATCTGGGCTGTTCCGATACCGTTATTGTCCCCAAAGTCAATCTTAACGCCAACGAACAAGTGCATTCAACAACTCAACAACTAGCATTTATACAGACTCTCACGCAGAGCAGCGTCAAAGGCCGCTTGACAGTAGAGGATGGAGGAGCACTGTTCGAAGTTCTAGGTAACCATAAGCGTATCTGACCCAGCTTCACAGCAATGGCAATATGTTTCGTCTTCAAAATATACAGTCAATTCACTTTACAACAACCAGAACAACAACTTGCATTTATGTAGAGTGGTAGAGCCCGATGCCGAGCCAAGGGGGAGGGGAAAGGTGACCGTAGGCACGGTCGAAGAGGAAGGTCCTCAGGAGCAACCTGAAAATGGGGAAGGAGAGGGCGAGGTGATGGGATTGAGAGAGGGAGTTCCATAGCTTGGGGGCGTAGGGCAAAAGGCACAGCTGCCGATGGTGGAGGGGAGGATTCAAGGGACAAGGAGAAGGTCGGACCCAGTAGAGTGGAGGCAGCAGGTAGCGCTGTGAGGGAGAGATAGGGTGGATGCCAAAGCATGGAGGGATTTAAACACTATACAGTATACAGTATAACCTATGAAGCGCTTTGAGACGTCTCGAAGACGTGATAAGGCGCTATATTCAATTCAAGGACTATTATCATTATTATTTGGATAATCATTGATTAATAGGAAAGAGATACGATGGAATCCTTGCCTTGGATACAGGACCTTATCACCAAAAAACATCTCAAACCCATCACAGGAATTTTACTGTGTATTTTGTAGACAAATGCGGCAGCAACCAATTTGCGCACAGCAATGTCCCACACAAACAAGCCGTGAAGCGAGTGAGCCAGTCTGGTTTGGATACTCGCAAGCACGGTGCTGGGTTTCCGCATGAGTCAGACACTCATGACCCCAAAA